ATAGACTCTATTAGTGCCACGTCACAGTCGGTATCGATTGTATCGAACTGGATCCAAACAATCAAACATAACCTTACTATTCAATATGAAACTAAAGAATTTCAGAGATAATTCGCTCAGTTTGAGAAAAAAGTTGTGTTAGAGACAGCTCTTTTAATCGCGGAACGTTCCCGCATTGTTAAGTTGACGGGATAAAGTAGTTTCAGAAAGGTGAAAATACCCACGAGGGCCACCATGATTTAGGCCACTCCTATGCCACTCCAGTTTCTTGGCTTTTGAAGGTGAAATTCTGGGAGGGAGGTGTCAAGATGAGGTTATGTTTGATTGTTTGGATCCAGTTCGATACAATCGATACCGACTGTGACGTGGCACTAATAGCGTCTATTCTCCGCGCGCAGAAAAATCGATATATCGAAAAAGTGGCGCGCGGAATTATTTTCTGGTGCAGCGCCGGAAAAAACAGTCGGCGAGCAGGAATCGATATATCGAAAATTCTGCGCGCGGAACAGATTTCGGAGCGCCGCGCCGGCGGCGAGCAGGAATCGATATATCGAAAAGTCCGCGCGCGGAACAGATTTGGAGCGCCGCGCCGGAAAAAATAGTTTTGACACAAACGGCGCAAATATATCGAATACCGGCGCGGAATCCGGAAATTCAGAGATTTTCATCGAAAACGGGTTTTTTCTTTCCGCGCGCCGAAAAAAAATTCCGCGCGCCAGAAAAAATTCCGCGCGCGCAAGAAAAGGGTTTTGACACTAACGGCGTTCCATAGTGTCACAAACGGGAATAAAGATCACATTTTCACCGATTGCAAAGATTATAATCTGGAATGGACCAGGGAATTACGGGTTCGGCAAGGAACAAACGGAATTAGAGAAGGAACGGAGAAAGGAATTTGAGAATGGGCTGATCAAAGATTACAAAAAACGTTCAATTTCTGACTAACGTCTAGACCCTGAGCGAGCAAAGTTCAAATATTCGCCACTGGGAGCGCTTCCTCCGTTGCTTTTGCTTGCGCGCTTGTTTTTGAAGTGGCATTTCCATTGTCATAGAATAATGAATAGCTTCGCTATAAGAAGCGCCACGGGGACGAATCCACAACGGGCCTTCGAATGACCTTGAAATGGTCGTCAGGCCGGGTGAGCCGAGCGAATACGAGCTGCGCCGAGGATGGTTAACTGAGATTCATAACTAACAACAATGACATGGTTAACTGAGATCGTTCAAGGTCATTGAAAACGCTGTCCTATTGAAAAGGTTGCCGTGGCCCTTCTTATAGCGTCAGCTAGTTATTATTCTATGCCATTGTCTCGGTACATATTGCCGGTACACTTGCTGGGTGTTGCTGGGTTGCCTATCGTCTCGCCTGAAGGGACTCCAGTCTCGCCGAAATTTCCTGATGCGCGGTCTAGACTGTATTATACGCCAGTGAAAATCCTCCATGATAAATGTAGGTACTGAAGTGTAGTTACCTAGTGTTTGTGCTGGTCCAATTCAACGTTCATTTGGTAAAAGGTCAAAAATTCTTCACCACATTAGAGACAGACATGAAGTAAATGTCATCTCTAAAAACTTAGAGTTTGAATCATTTCCGTTATCAAAAAATGGGAAAGTAAGTACGAGTAAGTACGATACGCAGAAAAAAATACATTCTTATGAGTGGTTCTGAAAAAGATATAAGCCTTAGTTCTAGGTTTACTTCAGGTTCTGGAGAAAACAGTACCTAAACTTTGCTGACAGCTGCCACCCATAGGTCTCTCAGAGTCTGAGACAATTCTGCACACCTTCAAGGGTTCTTTTTAAAAGCAAACAAGACTTTGTACAAATTTAAAGCAATAAATTAGATGCATAAAAATACGAATAGATGTATACGAACCAACCAAAAATAGATCAATTTGAAAACGCAGATTGGTAATTTTCTGTATGAATATAGGTACATCTCTAGAAATAATTATGAAAAAAATCCATTTTTTGACCCCTTCCTTCATCCCCCATGGAGGATGAAGGAAGGGGTCAATCTAAACAAAGAATGAAACAAGCATCAGGGCAAATGAAAAGTTAAGCAATAAAATATATTGAAGAGTATATTGAAGTAAACGTGAAATTAATTCCATTTGCAATTGTTTGTGAGTGATCAATCAGTTTTTGAATATTTGTAGATGCTGTGCTCGTTGAAGAAAACGCGCCCACGATAAATAAATAGTAAAAGAAAACAAATTATTTTAAAACATCTATATTCTAGGCTAAAGCGTAAAGTTTCTATATAGTGAGTGAGTTCCGGGTTTTTCAAAAACAAGCGCGCAAGCAAAAGCAACGGAGGAAGCGCTCCCAGTGGCG